GCATCGACTTAATCCCAGTTGTGTCCTGTTTTTGGGGATGGCATTGCCAAGCTCCCGGCTGTGCCTGCTTTTATTACATAGTTGCTTATATATAAAGCAATTAGTGTGTGTGTGTGTGTGAGTGTATTTGAGCGCACACACAGACACACATAGGCAGACTGTTGCTGCCGGCTTTCGATTTTGAGTTAAATCTTTCCTTAAAAGCTTTTTTGAGTGAGTTTCTTTGGGTGTTTGGTGTTTTGTCTGCATTTGAATTTAACAAAAATTTAAAAATAACTTTAAATTTAATTAGAATTATATTTGATTCTATTTTATATAAGCTCTTCAGCTATATTTATTTTATATGTATGCTCAGCTGCTGTGAGTCTTACTCTCTTTATACCAACAATGTGCTCGCTCTGTCTATCTCTCCCTCTCTCCACTCTAATTCTAGCAGTTTTTCTCGTTGCGCTCTGCTCACATACAATTCAAGCTTTAAAATGTCATTGACAATTTATATGTCGTATTTTTCTTTAATTATTTAATCAAATTCAACTTTCTAAATAGCGCCATCTCGCTCGCACACCTACACATAAAGCTTTGCCACAGTATGGTCAAACTTTTGCTCAAAGCTCGAAGCGCTTTCAATGCTAACCGTTATGTACGCGCGCTGAGAGAAAGTTTTCAGCATCTCTGCCTTTGCCCGCAGAGATATCAACAACAAAGAGAAGACTCAGCAGCAGCGGCAGCAGCGGCAGCAGCAGCGGCAGCAGCAGCGACAGCAGCAGCAGCATAATAAAAATCCATTTTTATAGTCCCGGCAACATCGCAGTCACCGCTGCAGTCGCAGTCGCTGCCGCTGCACACACACACACTCAAACCACCCTACTGACAAAAAAAAGATTTACTGAACTGGGCGAAAGGGAGGTCACGGGATGTGGCTGCTCCTTCTTGTTCCTGGGGTGGTGCTGCCAAAATGTATGAAATTTTACTGCCTGCCAACGTCAACAGAAACTTCAAACTTTTGCTGTTGCTGCTGGCAGCGCTGCCTCAGCCTCAGTCTCAGCAGCAGCTGCAGCTGCTGTCGCTGCCGCTGCTTGTGCCGTTGAGTGAGCGCGTGGAATGTTGCCATATGCCGCCATATGTACATCTGTACATACTAAATGCTGCTCTCTGCTCTCTCCAGCGTATGCCTTTCTCTCTCTGTGTGTCTTTCTTTCTCCCTCACACACACACACGCAGTTGGCCTCTCGCTGAGTTGTTTGCGTTGTACACGCTGGGTACAGTCGCTGCCGCCAGCAGCAGCGACTGCGACGCCGGCAGCAGCAATAATGTCCGTCCCTTTATCCCAATCGTCCAGACGTGCAGACTTTTGACTGTGTATGTGGGGGGTGACCACTTTTTCGTGCTTGACGATGTTGATGTTGTTGCTGATGCTGATGCTGCCTGCTGCCTGCCTGCCTGCTCATGTTGCTTGTTGTTTTTGTTGCTGCTGTTTCTTTGATTGCCATAAACAGGGTGTCACAGTTGTTGCTGACAAGAAAGGGAAATCGGTATGGATATTAAAGCAAAGCAAAATGAATTAATATTATATAAAACTGTTCCTACAGTTTGACAGATAGACTGACTGATTGATGATTGATGGATCTAGGCACAGTTAGAAGCATAAAGGGTAACATTTTGCTTTAAATAGCTGTCCAAAGGGTGAAAGCGAAGGGTAAACAAATGTTGAAATACAATTTAATAAGAATTGGTTTAATGATATAAAAAACTGAGTGAAAATAGTTGCTTATGGAAGTTTAAGAAATAATTAAAAGTGCCATAAACACCCTGTATATATAATAAGTTTATATAAGATCATTAAACTAAACCAAATACATATTCAAAGTAGAGTCAACTGTATAGGAAAAAAACAACTTAACACCCTGTATGTACTTATTATAATGCGGCAAATATTTCTTACCACCTAGAACACCCTGTATATGCAAAATTCAATGTTCAACAATGTCTAATAGGCAGCAATTTTGATTTAATAAAGTCAAAATCAATGCACGACCTGCATAACAATGTACACAGAGACACAAGCACAAACACACGCGTAAAAAGATATTGTGAAGCACCCTGTATGCATGAGATATTTAAGTTTAACAAGTACATAAGCACTTGGCTTCACAAGCACATAAATAGCGAAATGGAATTAAGTTTGCATAGCAAAGAACATAAACTGCTGCAATTACAATAACACCAAATTGAAACTAGTGTAAAGCAACAACAGCAACAAAGATGATAACACACAAACAAACACACGCACACACACATACATACATACATACATACAGAAGCGAAACTTTTTCTTTTTCCTTTTGCCAATGGCACTGAAAATAATAAAAACAGTCCAAAAAGAGAAAACAGAAACAAAAATTGTAGAGAAAATAAGAAGGAAAATAACAGAGTATGTAATTTATAATATCCTTTGTGAGCGAGTGCTTTGTGCTGGTGAAAAGTGAAAATAAGTATGTGCAGCGCTCTCTGTGTGTGTGTGCGTGTCTGTGTGTGGCATTAAGTATTTGACATTTACAAACAACAGGCGCACACACACACGCTTGCACACATTTACGGCTGCTGTCGTTTGTGCCGGGCAAATAGTTAAAACTAAAATAAATTTAGTTGTTGTGCGCACACTAACATACACTCGTACGCTCGTCCATTCGCACACTCACACACACAGACGGACAAAAGATAGCGACAGCCGCCATTTTGGTGCGCGTCCTTCGTGCCTTGGCCGCGCTGATAAGTATGCAATGCTTGTGTTTGGCTGCCGCACAAAATCTCATTATATTTGTTTTATTTTATTTGCTGCCTCAACGTCGTTTTCTTTTTCTTTTGCTTCAGCTGCTGCTGCTGCTTTTACTTCTATTTTATTTTTATTTCACTTTTTTGCTATACCCTGCAATTTTCACCAAATGCAGTTGGCTGAACTTCTGAAACATATTTGCTGCATTTTTATATAAATAGCTTTGGCTTTTATTCTATTATTAAGAGCTCCTCCCTCTTTATTTATATTTAGACTTAATAAACTTTGCCTAATTGCCTAAAATTCATTAAAATATAATTTTGGAATGTTTTATGAGCTCGGGCAATGTTGTGTAATTTTGTATAGCATACTTATAAGGGCAAAGGTTTTATTTGACCCAAAGGTATTCTTTTTACAAACAATGTGATGTGGTACCTAACTGTATGTATTATTTATAGTCTTTCTCTACATATATTATCTGAGCCTTTCGTAATAGCTTTACATTCAATGAACATACCTTTACTTCAGCCTATTTAGAGCATATTCCCATGTATATTTTTATAGCATACTTTTATGGGCATATTTTAAGCTCATGAAAATTCGACAATTTCTAAATATAGTTGTTCTAGCTCTCAGTTATTAAATTCTATAGCCTGTTTTCATCTATCAAAAGTTAATTTAAAGGCAACTTCTTGAACTGTGCCTTAGCTACAGCACATCTTCTAGTCCAACACTCGCAACTTGAGAATTATTTCTTGACTTTCCTCCCATTGCTTGGTTTCTGTTGCTGTCTATTTCTATGGTTTGACCAAAGTACTTTTGTTTATATATGTATATAAATATGTAGGCAACTGACTTTGGCCAGTTGACCGTCCACAGCAGCGCCCCACCTCCAGCCCCGCCCCTGGCATTGTCATCTACTTACTTACTACTTACTGCGTGCTTAGTTATTGTTTTAGTGTGGCCTTTTGTTTGAAAATTATTAACAATGGACGTTGCGAAGTGAAAGGTGCTCGGATAGTGGACCACAAGAGGGGCAGTGCAGCGCTTTTAATAGCATTTAATGCACCTGCACTCACACACACACACGCACGCACGCACAGTGGAAGTTAAGTAGCTTTTTGTTCATTGTTGGCATTGTGCTGCTGCAGCGGCTGCTGCAGATACACTTAATAGAGAGATATAGTAAGATAAAGAGACAGCCAGAGGGAGAGAGACAGCTGCAATAACAACATCATCACCATTGTTATTAACATTAGCAGCATCATGATTATCGTTCATGCTTATAGTGCATAAGCCGCTTTATAAAAGCTTCATTTGCCGTGCGCTCGTTCATTATTTATTTATTTATTTGATTGCCGCTTCAATTTCACTCACGGCTTGGCCTTTAATGGCCTTGTCTTCGCCGCGTGTTTAGCTCGTCATTTATAATTGCAAAATTATGCGCACATCATCTAATTCCATAATTAAATAATGTGGCATAAAGCTATTTGAAATTACGTGAATTATGCCAATTATATTGCCAGCAAGGCTAACAATTAATTTAAAGTGCTGTAAAACTCGTTGAATTTGATCGATTTTCATATAGCTCAAATAGCTGTTAAATATTTGACATGGGCTTTGGAAGTGATGTGTGAACAACTTGTCTTTAAAGGTAATGAACAAAAGATTCGAAAAGGGAATATCAAAGTTATAGCTAACAGTTTTTGACTAGCGTTGCCAGATCGTCAAACAATTTTAGAAATATTTGACCTGCAGGTGAAAATAATTGTTAACTTAAAGGTCTAATAGGCGCGTCTTTGATAATCTTAGCTGAAACTAACTGGCTAATCTTGCCAGCTTATTGACATAGGGTTGCCAGACCATCAAATTTGTTTAACATTTAGTTGACAACAAGATATAAATACTAAGTTTTTCCTCGAATTTAGCCTCCGCTAACTAGAAATTTTATCGATAAATAATTGCCAGACTGTGTAACAATTATAAGCTTCATTCACATTTGCTTAGCAAACAGATAATCAAAAGCATTTTAACTGCTTGTCAATTAGATAAGCTGCCAACATGAAATTTAATATGTAGTTTGGAAATATAATCTACGTAATATATATGACTACAACACTTTGATGATCATCTCTTAGAATAGACTTTTTAGACCTCCTCAGCTAAAGTTGCTCTCAATGAAATCGGGTATGCCAAACAGTTTGACTAGTGTAATTATTTTAGTTAAAGACAGCCTCATAAAGCAGGCATTTCGAATACACACATACGTAATGTTCATTTAGATTTTTCGATTTATTAAGTAAAGTACGTTTTTAACAATCATTTCTAGTAGGTATCCATCCGGATTCCGTGCTCAACAGCTAACAAATTGATCGCCTCAATCAATGACCGGGCAGCAGTAGAACCTTTTTTGAACTAAACATAGTAATTCACTGTTAACGATTGTTAACGACGGCGGGTCGACAGGTGAACATAGCAGGGGCGCACAAGATGGCTTCCAAGCCGGTGTCATCTGGTCGCGTGAACCTCTCGAATTTGGCTCTAGAGAATCGCATGGTCGGTGGCAAATATCGTTTGCTAAAGTCCATTGGCAGCGGCTCGTTCGGTGAGATCTATCAGGGCATTAACACGCAGGACGGCAAGGATGTGGCTGTTAAAATCGAGGCGATCGATGTCAAATATCCATTGCTGCGCTATGAGGCGAAGGTCTATGAGCAAATTGGCCCGCACGCTGGACTCCCAGCACTTTTGCACTACGGCAGTGAGAAGCGCTTCAATGCATTGGTCATGGAGCTGTTGGGTCCCTCACTGGAGGATCTATTCAATTTATGTAAGCGCCACTTCACGCTCAAAACAGTTCTCATGTTGGCCGATCAGCTGCTGATGCGTCTCGAGTGCGTGCATCAGCATAGTTTCATACATCGCGACGTCAAGCCCGATAACTTTCTCATGGGACTCGGTAAAAATTGTAACAAATTGTATATGATTGACTTTGGATTGGCCAAACGCTATCAGGATCCAGACCGCTGCCAGCATATACCGTACCGCGAGGATCGCAATCTAACCGGCACTGCACGCTATGCATCGATCAATGCCCAGCGCGGCGTCGAGCAGTCGCGTCGCGACGACTTGGAGTCTCTAAGCTATTGCATTATGTACTTCAATTTGGGTAAGTTGCCCTGGCAGGGCATTGTGGCGCCAAATAAGCAGCAGAAATATGAGAAAATATTGGAGATGAAGCGCAGCATGTGCATCGACGAGATCTGTAAGTCGTGGCCCGTCGAATTCGCCCTGTTCATGAAGTACACGCGCAATCTGCGCTTCCAGGACGAGCCGGACTACGTCTACTTGCGTCAGCTGTTTCGCCTGCTCTTCCGCACGCTCAATCATCACTTCGATCATGTCTACGACTGGAGCCATCTGCACCAGCAGCAAAAGGAACGCGAGCGTGATCGCGATCGGGATCGCGGCCGTCGCGATCAGCAGCTCGTGGAATTGGAATTGAAGCGTCTGCGCCGTTCACGTGTCGAGCAGGTGCGCAATCGTTTGGAAATCGGTGATAGCCTGAAGCATAAGCATCATGATGACAAACAGCAGAAGTGATCGGCAGCTCCGCATCGAAATCTGACACAAAAAAATAAGCTTTTCCAAATTATTTAAACGAAAGACTTGCATACTTTTATGTTAAATTGTTCCTGTTTAGAGTTTTCCACTGCGTTTTATTTACATTTTTCTTAAACACTTGCTGCATATATTTTTTGATACCCCCGCCCTGAGGATGACGAAAAATGAAACGCATTTCCAGATACTTGAAATTCTGGCTGAAAGGCCTTACTCTCAGATAACAGTAGCAAGCCATACGAAGTCGTTGCTATTGAGTGCCAGTTAACTTTGTTAAATCAAATGGATCGGTCTACTATATCACAAAACTCTCATGCTGACCACACGAAAACTTGAACGCATTTCAAATCTCGGTTAACTATTTAATGTAGCTCTCTAAAGAATCGACTCTTGAAAATTGAGTTAACGAACCAAATTTCGGCTTTAATAAATGTACATTTGCTGCTTTAATCGAGCTAGTGAACTATAGTTAAATATATTTTAAATAATATTGCTTTTAGTTCTATAGTAAAGTTTTTAGATAAATTATACGAATTGCAGATTTAAACTGTAAAAATACTTTTTTCTTTAATAACATTCTACATTAAGCAGAGTTTCAAGCTCCTGAATTTTTATTAACTAGTCGAAGCAATGTTGTCCTGGCTCTCCTACCTTCTATCTCAATTTTGAATATATATATTAATTTTCTGATTATCATAGCTGCCTGTATAAAGCTGAACGTGTATTATGTAGTCGTTCAAGCCCGCGTGGAAAATTGTTACCTGTTTTTGTTGCAAACTTTGAAACATTTTCATTTCGCATTATAGAAAAACTATCTATTGTGCTTAAAATTTCATATGCTGTTCCTTAGTTACTTTGGCTAAAAACTTTTGCAAAGCTCATCAGAAAAGGGAGCTGTCAAATTGTCATGTAAACGCGACTTGCTGCCAGCATCAGCATCAGTAGAAGCCATTGAAAAGACTATAGCTAAGTTTTTGCAGTTGAGTTGGGGTTTATTTTCGCATAGTTATTTATTGAGTGGCAGCCACACACACACACACTCACACACAGGCACAGAGACAGGGCAGTACAGGTGAAAAAAAACACTTGCAAGTTATGCGAAAACAAAATAAATTTTATAGCAGCCATGACCCCCAAGCAGACCCCCGCCCAGCAGCGCTCAACACGGAGCTGCACAATACACTGGCAAATATTTTAGCTCCGACCGCACAGCAGAGCAAAAATAAAGAGAAAAATAGAAAATGTTTTTCGTATTTCTGTTTTTTTGTTGTTTTCTCTTTTCACTCTGCTCTGCGCCCGGGAAAAGTAAGTGGAAAAGTTTTGCTAGCTTTGACTGCGCTGCTTAGTTCTGTTAAAGACGGGGTCGTCGCGTTGCACCTGCTGCCAAATTAAATGGCAAAAAAGAAAGAGGGAGAAAACCACAAATAAAAGCGAAATAAAGCTAAAGAATTGCAGCAACTAAAACACAATAGAGCGAAACAGAAACAGGCAACTATGGCTATGACAGACTGGCAATTTCAATAATTTATGATGCCCGGCTTTGAACAACGGGCGGAAATCATTTTGACATTTTCCAGCAATTTTTCTTGCACTTGGCAAAACTTCGTCCTCTGCCGCTGCACTGACAAAACATAATTAAGTGTCGTCTTGAGCGTCAACCTCGCCTACTGCTGCCACATCTCCTTCTTCAGCTACCCTGCTCCACGGCTGCTTCTCCAATTCTGCTCGCTTGCCAGTTGATGAACAGCAACAGCAGCAAAACAACTACAAATGCTGCTGACTAGTCAATACTCTGTTCAGCAAGTAACAGAAAGTAGGAAACAAAGAAAATGTTTTTATAGAGATATTTTAGTTCTATAGAATATACTCTGTGAATTTTTGTAATATAGTAGACAATGTTGCTAACATTTGGTACAAGAGTCGGGTTCCTCTCTTCTCACAGCTTATGTCAAAACAAAAAAAAAAAACAATTTACAACGCGCTGAAAATTTAATCGGACTTAAATCTACTTTTTATAAAAAAATCCTTACTTCCATTTGCTCATTTATATGGACGCGCACATTTTTAGACGATCAAGAAAGATATATTGCTATAATAAAAAATATGTATATAAAAATGTATAAAAGAATTAATAAATATATTTTTTTATATTATTTATTATATTTAAAAAATAAATATACAAGAAGTAAATATATTTATATATATTTTTTTATATATATTTATATATATTGCTATAAAAAATATAATGTATGAAAAAATTATAAATATATTTTTTTATATTATATATTATATTTAAAAAATAAATATACAAGAAGTAAATATATTTATATATATTTTTTATATATATTTATATATAATGTATGAAAAAATTAATAAATATATTTTTTTATATTATATATTATACTCAAAAAATATATACATGAATTAAATGTATTTATATATATTTTAAAAATTATTTATATAAAAAATAAAGATATCAATATATATATTGCTTTAGATTTAAATTATAGATATCAATTTAAATGTGAAAAAAAAATTGAAAAAAATATATATATATATTTATATATAAATATATTTATTTATTTTTAAACAGAAATAAATTCATTGTAGATCACATATTTGCCAGATAATATGTTTATATAACAATATATCTCTAGAGGTAGATGAACATGGCTTTAGTGACTTGACCAATAGACGCTGCTAAAAATTATATATTATATTATGAACAACATTCTAGCTTCGCATACCTTTCTGTCAGGTCAGACACCTCGATGGATATAAGTTTAATTAACTGAGTACGAGATTATATACCAGCTTACACCTGCCTGATACGTCAAGTATGTTTATATATTTTCAAAAGAAAGGCTTTGTCTTGGAGACTGAGATGAGCTTATATACATTTGCAAATAAAAATAGAAGAGTATTTTATATTATTTTTAAGTTTTGGGCTTTAGCTCCGCCTACAGTCGAACAGCCCTTGCATCACTTAATGTACAGAGTATATCGAAAAACAAAAAGTTGTCAAATGCCCGGGGACTGGCAACTAGCAATGCGAAGCAACACAGCCAAAAACTTGCAATGTGGCAAATAAAGCGGCATGACAAGTGACAAGTGGCAAGTAAACCGTAAGCCGTAATACAAAATGCCACATAATGCTGCTGCCTTTTGGTACTGCTGCTGATGCTGTTCATCCTGCCCAGACTGCTGGCCTGAATAACTGACTGACAGGCATCGGCTCCGGCTGCGGCTGCGGCATCAGCATCAGCATCAGCATCGGCATCGGCACCAGCACCTGAAGCACTGACAGTTGCCATGTCAACATATATGATAAATTGTGCTGCGCGTCGCGTTGTCTGCTTGAAATGATGTGTTATGGAAATTCGACGTCCGCTGACTGCAAATGTCGCCCGCCAGTTGGGTTTGCCATGTCTCCGATGTTAGTGTAAACATTCATGTAATGTAATTGCACATTTTGCTATCTGCATGCCAAATAGCTGTTTATTTAATTTGCTGAGCATGGCACTGCGAATTGGGCGTCCACGTAGCAGCCATTTAACATTCACTGCCAGACTGATTTGATGCGACAATCTCGAGTAGTGTTGGAGGCACTTCATGCTCAACTGTTTGTGAGAAGTGCATAGAAGAAGCGAATCAAAATTAACTGCTACAACTGCTTTAAATCGGTTTAAGTGCAAAGCAAATATTAGTAAAATTACAACATGCATGTTAAAGTTCCTTGTAAATTTAATATATTGCTTTCTTTTTGGTTTGAATAGTTATGCAAGCTAATATAAATAAAATAAAATTTCTATTTAACATGCATATTAAAGTAACGGTTAAATTTACTATTCATCGATTAGCTTTTGAATTTTTGAGCTGATCAAATTGCTGCATGTATTTTAAGTAGTTTTCTGTAATATAAAATTGATCTTTTACAATTTATCTAACAGAGCAAAATAGTATGTAACATGCATGTCAAAGTAACTTGTAAATCTCAAGGCTTATAAAAGTGATAATTAACTCCAGGAAAATTCAATCAAGAAAATGCATAAATTCCTGTTTGACATGCATGTTAAAGTTTATGTTCACTTCAAATTATTAGTATATAAATGAATTATAAGCACGTAAACCAGTGAATGCTTTCCAGATAAAAAATTTATGGAGATTATTTTACAAATTTAACATTCATGTTAAGCTGCCTTGTACAAAAATCATTAATGAATTCCTGTTTCTATGCCTAAACTAAAATAAATACACACTTTAATTTAACATGCATGTTAAACTTGGTGATAAATTAAGTTTCCATTGAATTTAGAAAATACCTCATGTACACTACTCTAATCGAAATCAAATCCCAATCCAACTTAACATGCACAGGAAAATGCTTGAAAATTTCCGTGATAACAGATGAAATACAAAGTAAAATCCCCTTTTGCAATAAGAGCTTGTAGTGTTAGCTTTGTTAACCATCAGCAAAATATTACTTTTCAATAGTAATAAAAAAACGCAACCACTTAGCAGTGGCTGACTAATCCACTTGGAAAAGTGGAAGCTGTGGGCTGTGGGCTGTGGGTTGAGAGCTGAGATCTGAGAGCTTGGAGATGCGTGGCTGCAGGTAACCATTAGCAGCAACACTAGAGACAAAAACTAAGCCAGTAAACTACAAAAAGCAAAGCTTAAAAACTTTTGCAGCTTCTGCCAGCATTTATACTCGCCCAACTAATGGCAACTGAAAACGTTGAAACGCAATGAGATAATGTAAGCCAAAGCCCAAATGCAACAGAGCAAAGTCTTTACCTTCATACCAAAAACTCAAAAACTCTCAAAGTTTTCACTCAAATAATTGCGTCTGCTTGCACTAATAGACGTGCATATATATACTTATACAGCCCGCATACCACTGGACGACCCAATAAAAAAAAAAAAAGAAAATCCGTATACAACTTACAACAAATAGTGGCCTCAAATGATTTTGTTGTTACTCGAGTTTTTGGCGTCTTTATTGCTGCTACAGCTTTTATTTTTCATTAGAGACGGCAGCATCTACTCATTTCGTAAGACAAATATATATTGACTAGATTTTTCGCTTAAGCCCCATACATGAAAACAACTATAAGCAATACAATTTTATATCTATCTATCGTGAAATGTTGTATATCCAAAATTAATTCACTATATATATTATATTCTATGATCATTTCAGCTTGCAAGCTTGATTCGTTATTC